GGCTGTGGCTGAATAGGCTGATCTTTAGCATCCCGAGCCGCGCGCTTGGCCAAATTCGTCTGGTGTCGCTTGCCTTGCGTGTGTGCCAAGTAGTTCCCCTCATTGTTGTGCAGCGTCAAGCAAAGCTTACACTCGTAGCTGCCAAAACCAAAGGAATTTCAATGCCATCACTCGCCCAATCTCGAGAAAAACAGCGGACATTCTCCTCCAAGAGAAAAACATGAAAGAGAGACATACCTTCCCAAGTGATTGCGCATGAAGTAGGGGTCCTTGCCCAGGTCGATCGTCTCGATGGCGAGGCGCCGGAGACGCTCGCGCCTATCGATCGCCTCATTCTGAGCCGACGCCGCGCCACCGCTCCCGGGCTTGCTCCCCCACTCCCTGTCCATCGCGCTCCTAGCAAAAAGCCCTAAATCTTTGACGAGAGAAAATCCCAGCCGTTTGCTAGATTCACAGTAACGAGGACAATCTCCACCGTCCAATTTCGAAACATTAAGGACCGTCCGATCCATACTCTAGAATTTCTAAAGCTTGTAGAGACGCACTGGATGCGATGGTAGCTCACATCTTTGCTTGTCTCGTTTGGCTCCCATCTATCAAATTTAAGTGATAGAAAGATTTTCTAAAGAACACGAAGAAACACACGGAAGCTTACTTGTAAGTTGTGACCAGCCTGTGAATGAAAACGAGCATCTCTAGTTTCGAGAGCTCTCGCCCAGCACAACTCCGGCTCCCAGCTCCAAATGGAGTATAGCTTCCGCGCTTGGGAGCAACCTGAGACATACCTTGGGATCGAACTTATGAGGATCTGGAAAGTGCTTCTCGTTTAGATGTGTTGCGCTGAATAGAATCATATTCCAGCCCTTGGGAAATCTGTAGCCTGCAAATAGCATTTTAGTGGCATTCTTTAGACACAATGGAGGTGTTCTTACCCTGATAGACAACGTCTTCTGCGATCTCCCGGATCACGGCGGGAGGGACATTTGATAATTCCTGGATAACCTGCCATGGAAAAACTTGTAAATAAACGAAAGAACACAATTTTAACTTTACCATCCACGTCAAATGCATGTCATGACAATCCTCCCAAGTCAGATTTTTATCTCCGTCACTTTCTCTTCGTTATCCGTATGTGCTCATCCTGACCACAAACTCATACACTTTTATAAACGACATTCGCCAGTATTTTGTCACATAGCTTACCTTGAGATCTTCAAATACACTTGGATTCTCATGCAGAAACTTCATGACAGGCACGCAATACAATTATCAACAACCTCGTCGGTTGACAGAGGCCCTCCATCCTCTCTGGAGTCCAGAAGAGTTTGCAGCAAATCAGCATGCGGAGTTTCTGAATCTCTTTGTCTTTGACAAATAATCGTTTTAAAGTAAGATAGCCTGAAACAAAGTGCTCGGAATAAAAAACCTTAATTGCATACCTGTAAACACAGAATGGTACGTTTACTGGAAGACTGACGATGCCTTTCGTCAATGCCCTGATGTCATTCAAAATTGTCTGTGTTGTTAAGTTTTGTGGATCCAACTCCCTCGTCGCAAACCAAGCTCGCGATCTCAAGAAATGTGAACTGAAAGCATTGGCAAAGTCAGTTCCATTCATCGAGCTTTCGTTCCAAATACCTTTTCATCACAGTGCGCACACCTTCGGACAGGCCATCTGCGCGCACTCTCATCAAACTTCTGAACCTTCTGTTTGACAACTTCCGGTACCATGTGTGCGAGAATTAGCTTGTAAAATCTCCGATGCAAGTCATCGTTTGCCTGGTTCACTTGGTGCGGCCCCAATGTGTTTCTCATAGACTTCAGCTTGGACGCCTTGCAAAACTTGGAGCCTTCTTGCTCCAAAAAGAACTTGTTTGCATCAATCGTCGAAACTATTACAGTTGGATGGCGTATAAGGTAGCTTGAAAGTATGTCATATCT